CTGGACCTGTCAGTAGTGTGGTGCTTAAGGAGGCTAGATCTTGCATGGCCGACCATACAGTTTGAGTCCCAGACCCAGAGTTTTCCAAAACAAGCTGGGCATGTGTGTGTGCATGCCTTAAATACCAAGAGGAGAATGGAGAAGACTAAAGTGGCTATTTTCATTTGCAGGAGGGGGAAGTGTGGTGCTTTGTCAATCCACAACCCCTCCTGCACCTGTCATTCTCCTGTGAGCAAATGCGCCCTGTAGCAAAAATTCAAAACCTTAAATCTGCGGGACCAGCAGCTAGTGTAATGGCTATGTCGCTGGACTCTCACGTAGCTGACCACGGTTTGTGTCCCAGACCTGGTGGCTTAAAATTCACGCTGGGCATGTGTGTGTGTGCCCAAGGTCCCGAGAGAATGGAGAAGGGATTGCAGTGTGGCCATCCCCCCTTGGGGGGTGATTTCTCGCTTTCTGTCTCTCTGTCTATCTGGCGAGCGCACATGCCCTATAGCAAAAAACCTCTCCAAAAAGACAAACAAAAAAAATCCAAAATCTTAAATCTGCCATTTTTGTTTGCTTCCTGTCTTTTGTTTCCAAACTTTCTCTGAGTTAAATTTTTTAAATATAATTTCGTTTTGAGTATACCTCTTTGTATACAGCTTTCTTTCTTTTCTTTCTTTTTTAAGATAATTTCTTCCATGAATAAGAGAGACAGAGATAGAAAGCATCTCCCAGCCAAATCCAGATCACGGGAAAATGTATGCCCAGCATATAAGGAAAGTCTTTGGACATGAACCCAGAACTTCTCATGGGGGTCAGCCTCATGGAGCACTGTGATTTACTGCCGCACTGCTGTCCAGCCTCCCTGTGTAGCTCTTTTGGTGGTTGGTCTAGGTTTTACACATACATACAAATCACCAAACCCTGCTGTGGCAACCTTTATTAGTTCGGGTGAAATGTGAAAATCTTACCTCTTTTTACCCTTAACATCTATAAGATAGTTGCCTAGTTACTTCCAGTATATTGTGAACTACATGAAAGTCTTATCATTTTTGTTTCAAACAGCCAACAGAGAAGGAGCACTCAGAAGCAAACCCTATTGCATTTATCTGTATTTATGCTATTTCCATGTTCTTTTTTCCTTCCTCACTGATGTCAGAAGATTCTTTTATTGTTTCTGTGCAGAGAATTGACTTTTTCTTGTAGAGTAGGTCTACTGGTACCAATTTCTCAATTTTCCTGTATCTGATAATGTCTTGACTTCTTCAGTTTTGAACTTGTTGTTGTTGTTTGTTCGTTTTTGTTTTCCAGACAGAATTCTGGGTGACAGTTCTTTTGGCCCATGAATAATCTTGTCACTTATTTCTGGCTTCTCTGGTTTTGGATGAGAAACCACCGCCAACTAATTGTTTTGCGCCTGAAGGTGATGTGTTGTTCCCATCTTGCTGCCTTAGAGACTTTTCATTGGTTTTGTCTTTGACTATAAAGTGCCCGGGCATGATTTTTTTTGTTTGGGTTTCACCCAGTATTTTGATTTCACTCGTGTACGTATTCTGCCAAATTTGGGAAGTCGTCAGACCTTTTTCTTTGGATTTTCTTCAAGTCCACCCTCTTTCTCCTGTCCTAGTACATGAATGACATGACAGGTCATTTATTACAGTTCCACGTGTTTTCAAAGCTCTGTTTGTTTTTCAGTCTTTTTTTGGGCAACTTTTGGTTTTTATCTTCAAGTTTATAGATTCTTTTTCTTTGTTCTATTATGCTGAACTCATTTACAAAGTTTTTCATTTCATTTTATTTTTTAGTTCTAAAACTTTCATTTAGTTCTTTATTTTTTCTAAGAGAAAGAAGGGGACAGCCACAACAGGTCTTCACACCACGACTCATCTCCAGTCTCAGTCAGCTAACCCGTGGGCATTCGGGAGACCGTGGGACACAACCTGGGACTTTTCCTCACAGCTTCAACATCATGGAGCATTCTGACATCACTGCACCTCCCCGGCCTCATTTAGTTCAATCTTCTCTTTGCTGATTTTCTATTTTTCATGTTTCAAGCATGTTTACAATTGCCAACTGAAAATTTTAAAAAAATGATTAGTTTGCTATTGGGTTCTTGCACTCACCAGAGAGAGACAGAAAGTGAGAAAAATCACTTTCCCGGAGGGGGTGACCAATCCTATCTCCTCCATTCTTCTCTTGGGATTTTGGGCAGGCACGCCTGTCTGGTGTGTTTTTTAAGCTGCCAGGTGTGGGACTCGAACTGCTCACTTGGCCATGTGGGCTCTAACGCCTTAACCACTACACCGCCTGCTGGCTCACAGTGAAGTGTTTCTGTGATGGCTGTTTTTAAATATTTGTTGGATTATCCTATGGTGTTGGTATCTTTGTCTTTCCTCATTCAGATTCTCCTGGGTCTTGGTGTGGTGAATCTCAACTGAAATCTGGTCAGTTTCTAGTGTTAGAAGATCTTGGTCTTAAGCTTTTGCAGGCTACTCTGCTGCCTCTTACTGCCAGGGGTGGGAGCCCAGGCTGCCCGGGCCTGCACTGATGACACCAAAGGTGGGAGGGGCACTTTGGTACCACTCCCATGTAACCTCCACTGGGATTGCTGTTATTGCTGCTGATGGAAACTGCTTAAAGCCCTAGCTCTGATGGCACCCTGCAGGGAATGACGGGCACCTCAGTACTGCCAGGTGGAGAGAGCCCATGTTTCCCTCAGTCTTTACCATGGAGTTGGGATTGGTACTACAGTAAAGATGGGCGTCCCAACTCAGGCCCTCTCTGACACCACCACGAGGAAGAGTGGGGGAGGGTCTTAGCAAGGCAAGGGTGGATCTCCTGGCCACATGGGGCTTTGCTGGTGGAAACTGGGGGTGGAACTGCAGATTCTTCATGTGGTGTTTGGCTGCAGTAAAGCTGTTACTAACTAAACGTTTTATGTTTTACTAGGTCACCCTTTTCCTGGTCCACTGGCTACAGAGAACAGGTTTTGGTTGGGGCTCTTCTTGGTTGTACCTGTAAACAAAACACAAACCCCAGGGAACACACCTTGTCCTAGTTCCCAATGGCTGCCATAACACAGAATGGGGGGTTTAAGCAAAAGAAATTGATTTCCTTACAGTTCTGGAGGCTAGAAGTCCAAGATCTAGGTGTTGGTGAGTTGGCTTCTCCTGCGGCCCCTCTTCTCAGTCTAAAGGTGGTCTTTCCTCTGTGCACATGTTGGGTGTCTAAATCCAATCAGACTGGATTAGGGCTCACCCTGAAGACCTCGTTTTAACTTAATCACCTTTAAAGACTTTGTTTCTAAATATGGTTACAGTCTGAGGTGCTGGGGGTTAGGATTTCCACATACGTATTGTGGGGCAACATGATTAAGCCCAGAGCACTACTGTCTTCTTCCTTGGGTGCGGAGGTCCCCAGCTGGCCTACTTTCTCTGTCCACTTTTAGAATCTTATGTTTATTTTATATTTAATTGCCAGGGTTTTTTTTTTTTTTGCTGTACTTAATAGGAGGAACAGAGTAAGTATGCACATCCCATCTTCTTAGAAATGGAAGCCTCTTCCTTGCATTGCTCTTCATTTTGGTGTCCATGAAAACTGACCTTCCACGGTTGGTAAAAGATTGAGGCAGCAATCTGACTTCTGTATCCTACATCTCACATTAGTTTCACTTTGAATAAAATATTCACAAAATACAGAAACTCAAAATTCAAAAAGTACTAAAATAATAAACGCTTTTTAAAACATCAATTTTCTTGATAACAAAACCCCTAGGTTTTTCCTCTCCAAAAGCCAGCTGTAGACAGAAATGACTCATTCCCCGATATGGTTAAAGTACAAACAGGACACAATCGAAAATTCTGAACACAGAGCAAACACGTGGGTTAATCCTGCTGATCATCACAACAAAGGCCTATTGCCACTTCTGAGCAAAGTGCGTCACGCGCCCAGACTCCATGGAACTGTCCCCGTGATGCAATTTTCCAACTCGGTATCAGAGATAACCATCAACCACCAAGAAACTCTGGTGAAGTCCACAAATCACTTTCCGACAGAAACTGAAATGGTAAAACCCTCTCTCCTCTGCCCTGAGAAATTGCCGAGACTGTCACAGACTTCCCCATCTTATGAGGCCAACGGCAACCCATAGCCGTGGCCAGACCGGCATCTCACTCCACACCACCTTCAGGTTGAGAACCACATCAAGCTCACACAGAACTCAGAACCATCGACCAGAACTGCAGCCCATCTAGCACTGGGGCCTCCAAAGAACAGCCTGGAAGAATGCCACAGGTTCTACCCGGGGCCACTGGGTTGCACTTGGTGTCCAAGAGAGTACAGCTGAAATCCACAACCAGCACGTTTGGACTGTAACCTGCACCTGCCCGTGCCTCTGCTGTGGAAGGGGAACGGCGATACTCACCTCACCTCAGCAAGTGACAGCAGTGTCGCCCCAACCAGCAGCCACTTCTGAAACGTGGAACACCGCATCTCAGTGTGTTCCTGACCCTGGGACAGGATAGCTTAGCCTGGCTTACACATAACCAGTGCGGTTCTGGAGGCTGACAAGTCCAGGAGGAAGCAGCTGGAGGGTTGATCCCCATAGACGTCTTCTCTCTGTGTCCTTGAAGGGGCAAAAAGCTCCTCCAGGCCTCTGTTGTAAGAGCCCTGATCCATGTACAGGAAGGGCTCTGCCCTCATGATGTAATCACCTTCTGAGGACCCCACCTCTTACTACTACTGCACTGAGGGTTAGATGTCAGCATTGGAATTTTGAGGGGACGCCAACACAGAGCAGCCTTCACCTGTCCCCTCATTTATCCCTTCTCAGACTCTCGACTCCCCTTTCCTCCCAAACCGCCACCTGGGATCCGGCTCCCGATACACTGCACTGAGCCAGGCGCAGAGCCTAGACTTCTCTTTTAAACGGAATTATCTAGTATTTTCCCCAACGATCCAGCATAGGCTCACATAAAGCAGGAAGCCAACCTTAAAAACTCCAAGTTCATGACCGGTGAGTTTCAATATTTTATTAAAATAGCATATTTAATCATGGCTAACCAGGAATATGTTAACTTTGCCCCCCACCCCATCCGAGAATATGCAGCACAACACAGTAGTGATTTCAAATGTTCTTGATCGTGACAACCAACAGAAGTATTTCAAGGGCAAGTTTGCAAACTAAAAAAATTTGACCTTAGAAAAATTCTGAGTTAAAAAAGAAACATAAAGCTCTCAAACAGAATTCTCGTATCTGCCCAAAAATAAATGCCGGTGCGCCACCTGACAACGCTGCTAGGATTTTTTTTCTTTATGCATAGTATAATGTCTCATTTAAAAGTACCCACTTTTATAAATAAAATCGGCATCTTTCGTCCCATTTAATGTTCCTTTTCAGCTTCGCAAAGAAACCAGTGAATAAAACTGTCAACGACAGTCACGACATATGCTCTCACAGCAAGATAAAAACCTTGGAGATACGCAGAGGTGCATCTAGGCTATTTTACATAAAAAGACAGATTCAAAAAGTGCAAGGCAAAATCTGCAGTTTTTTGAGGGGAGCTTTTAGGCACATCCATTTCTTTAAAGCAAGCTTCAGAGTGAAATTCCAGTTTGTTCTTCATGACACCTGTTTAAGTCTTTCTTTAAAAGAAAAAAAACAAGAAAGCGAACGCCACATCCGTCAAGTGTAAATCAGGGAGCCGTGCGTCCCAGGAGGTGGGGGTTCAGTTGTGGCGCGTCCGGCCTTTTTTTATCCGGGCTGGCTTTGGTTTGGGGATATACTGATTGTTTGCCTGGTACTCAAGTTCTTTCCGGAAGTAGTGAATTGCTTTGTTCAGACCTTCCTCCAGAGGGACCTGTTCAAAGAGAAAGTGAGAAAGACAGTCACGTGGCTAGGGGGCTGCGCTGAGACACACGGCAGACCACGTGCTCGGGCTCTGGCATGTGGCCAGGAACACTCAGAACCGCACGTTCATCATGACAGCACCCAGAGAAGCCGCAGGGCCTTCCTAAGCGCTTCCAGAATGTACCGTGCAATTGAATGAGTGACCCTCTTACTGAGGCAAGGATCTCCAGTCCCTGACGGACCGTCCATTACCACTGCTGGGTCTTGACTGTGGCGACCGTGTCTTGATTGTGGTTTCACAAGTGTCAAAATACGAGGGGATTTCAATAATTCACAGAAAAACAGAATCAAAATACGCATTTATTTTGAGTGTAAACAATTCTGAAACTCAGGCATAAGTTTTTTCATAATTCTCATTTTCTGTGAATGTTCTGAAGACCCGGTGTATATCAACAGTTATAGAGGTTTTTTTTGTTTTGTTTTGTTTTTAAAGAGGTTTTTGCTATAGTGCACGTGACAGAGAGGGACAGAGAGATAGAAACGAGACACCATCCCCCAGGGGGGATGGCCATGCTGCAATCCCTTCTCCTCCATTCTCCTCACAGGATCTTGGGCACGCACGCAAACACACCTGGCGTGAGTTTAAGCCACTGGGGTCCGGGACTTGAACTGCAGTCAACAACATGGGAGTCCAGCAACATAGCTATTATGCTAACTGCTGGTCCCGAAATTGTACCTTTTAAATATGGGCAGTTTGTGGGGCCAGCAGATGGCATAGTGGTTAACGCACTGGACTCCCACACAGCTGACTGTGGTCAAGTCCCTGATCTAGCGGCTCGAAACTCATGCTAGGTGTGTGTATGTGCGCCCAAAATCCCAGGAGGAGAATGGACAAGAGATTGTGGTGTGGCCATCCACCCTGGGGAGAGATTTCTTATTTTCCTTCTCACTGTCTCTCTCAGTAAGCGCATGTGCCCTATGGCAAAATCCTTAAAAATATCTGTTACGGGCAGTTTGCTATGCGCCAATTATACCCCAGCAAGCTGTTAAACACATACACACGTACATACGCACCTCATACAGCACACGGGAAATCAAGATGGAGATACCTAGAAGTCAGGGTCAGGCCCCTCGAAAACGCCTCACAGTAAAAGTACTGGCTGGAGGGAAACTAGAGTTCGCATCTCGCGTCCCAAGCTTGCTGGGACACCGTAGGAACACTGGCAGGGTGCATACCACGTACACGTAATGCAGCCGTTACCATGGAGTACATGTGCACTGAGCTTTTCAAAATATTTCATCTATAATACAGCTCCAGCTACCAGGGGCCGACGGCGAGCTCCTCCACGCTATGCTTCTGTTTGCCGGACCTTGTTTTCTGCACAGCTGGGATTCCCAGGTTCTGTCCAGTCTGACACCCTCTTACTTTTGAGTCATTTAATGAGCTCCTATGGCCTTGAGATCACTCAGAGAGTACCCACGGGGTAATAGGATCAGACCAGAACTCTCACTCCCCTGCAAGGTTCGGCCCTCTAGGACTCAGTGCTCTGCTGTCACTGCTTCCTACAGATCTAAGGTAAGCTGAGCCTCGGACCTTCCCGCCTCCCTGGCTGCAGCTGTAGTGAGGTGCCCGCCCTGCCCAGTCACGCCTAGGATGGTCCTAGGTTCCTGAGCTCTCGATGCACGCCAGGCTGTGTCAGCTCTTGGGGCTGCTAGGCACAAGGCCACACGCCTCTGCCCCGGGGAGCTCGCATTCTGAGGCACACGGGGGTAGGCAGAGGTAAACGTGGGGGGCTGTCCCTGTAGACGCAGCTGTCCGGGGCAGCCTCTCTAACGAGCTGGGTTCTGAGGGTCAGGGGACCTGCTGGGTGGAAAGCTGGCAGCTGCACACGGCCTGAGGGTGAGCTTCCTAGGGCAAAGGAGAAGCACGCCGTAGCCTCAGTGGGGGATCAGGGAGGGCAGGGCTCATGCAGATTAAAGGCAGGCAGGTATCCTAGGGCAGGGCAAGGGCCTGAGTCTGAGAGCAGGAGGCAGGCACAGAGCTCAGCTTCCTGCTGTCCCTCAGTGGTGCACACTCCCACCTGGGGCTTGGCCTGCATGGGCTGCGGGCTGGCTGCCCCAGCTGGCCTGGTAAGGTCCTGACCTGGGATGCCCAGAGAGGCAGGAGGCCTAGGCATTGCTGCATCACCCAGACACTGCTTTGATGGCCTAACCTGGGTGTGACTGTGTAAAACACACAGCAGGAGTAGGATCAGGCCGTCGCCCAGGGCAGAATGCCACAGGATGCACGAGAAGCCACCGAACTGCCCGGAGAACACCATGTTTGCTCAGACGTGGGCCCACCTCGCTGCACGGGCTCCACGTGACTAGGGCAGGCACGTGCCAGGACATGGAATGTGGGCCGGGAAGACCCCACTGCAGGCGAGCGCCAGCTCCCACTCACCACAGGCTCCCAGCCCAACATCAATTTCGCTTTTTTGATGTCAGGCTTCCTTTTCTGCGGGTCGTCCTGGGCTTCGGAGAGAAACTGAATCTCACTCCCACTGCCTGAGTTGTTTAAAAAAAAAAGGAAAAAAGAAGGTCACAGAGAATCACTGCCCCTCACGATGTACCGTTCCATCATCTTCACCCAAGGGAAATCCCAAGTAAGGGCGCAGAAGGGAGTCCACACGGCTGTCACCCCCTGCGCCCAGCAGGGACTGCCCCATGCAGCGTCACGGAGCGCAGTAATGACTATAGCCACGCTGACCACGTGTTGAGGTCCCCAGGCTTATTTCTGGCCTCAAGTGCTCGGTGAGGGGCAGGTCACCTAAGTCACCTTCCAGTGCAAGAGGGTCTGCCCCAGGCAGCTACCCCAAGGCAGCCCACCCAGCATCAGCCACAGACACTGACGGGAACACCCCAGTGCTGAGAAAATCACCAATGTGGTGAGGGGCCACCTCGGCTGTGGACGGGGCTCAGATCCGAGAGTCCCTCCCTGGAATCGCACCAGTCTCCTGCTGTTAAAGCTGTGGACTGGAAGGAGAATGACTCGAGGGCTCCACGTTGGACCTCCCAAAGACCGGGTCACTCATGCTCCAGCCAGAGCAAACCCAGGCCGACGCGCAGCCAGCCAGTGCCCTGCTGCAGAGATCATGCAGGCGGCCAGCCCAACCTGTTGAGCATCCTAGTGGGGCCCAGACCCACTGGCCGGCAGAGCAAAGCCGCAACAGCGACCATCGGCCAGCCCTGCAGAAGGGCGCCCGGTGGTGGCCAGCCCCAGCCAGTCTGGAGCAGTGCAATGACCCTTGTCTTCAGCCTTTCGTCGGGGTGGAGTCCACAGCTGTGCATGGAAACACAGTGGTGAGCTCGCCTCCCTCCAGATCGGACTTCTCAGTTAGTGCTCGGATCCCCAGGAGAACTTGTCAATATGTGGGTCCTGGCCCTGGGCTGGGGCCTGAAGTTCACATCTCTAACGAGTGCCTGGATAAGGCTGAAACATTGGCCCACGGTCTCACTGTGGGAAGCGAGGGTTCAGAGGCGGCTGTGCTCTGAGCACCGATCCTCTCGCGGGAGGGGTAGAGACTCAGAATAGGAGCTCCAGCCGCAGGCACTGCAGTTGGTGTGTAAGGGAGATGCTGCCTGGGCTTGTCCCACAGAACAGCACTTCACCTGTCCAGACGGCTGGAAAGGAGCGCCCAACACCAGGAAGGGCAGCCCTGAGGAATCAGAACAGCCAGGCGGGGTCTGGACAGTCCCTTAGGCACATGCTACAGCTGGCTTGTCCCTGGTTTAGCCAACCAGTCTCATCTGTGTGGGTCTTGATTCAGATTTTCGGGTCGACCCCAGAAAAGAGACAGCTTCCAGAGGTCAACCTCTCAGAGCTCTGGGAAGCCTAAGGGTAAGACCAGGGCTCACCCTCCCTCCATTTGCAACCCAAGGACTGGACTTCTGATGTAATCAGAGCATGCCCAGATGGGGCTGCTCCTGGCATGCCTGGCCCCACGTCCACACAGCCAGGCTACCCAGAGCTGCACAGGGACTCTCAGCTCGCTGGAACCCACGCACTGCTGCCACACACTCTCACTCTGAAATTTCAGGCTTTGGATGCCCAGGGTTTGGAAAGTGAATCACTGGCACCCATACAAGATGATTAACACGCTCCTGCCTCAAATGCTGGAAATGGATCCCTTCCGCTCTCATAGAGCTGTTTGATCAAACTGTGAACCAAACCAATCCCACCTTCCTTTCTCCTTCTATTACTTAATTAAAGAATTAGAAAACATTTAGGTATTCCTGATAAAAAGCTCTGCTTTGATCCAATTCAATTAGCTTGCATTAATTACCCCTTTGGTAGTCAAGGTGTTATCAACGGATAAGGTGCCTACTGTTGATTTCATCAGGAAGCGATTTATCCTACTTACCAACAAGGTTTTTAATTAACTGAGCAAATTCTAGGATTGTGTGTTCTTCTGGGTTCCCCTAAGGAAGAAACGGTTTCTGGTTATAAAGTGTGATCCCAGCAACAGCGGCCCACTACCCGCCCGTGCCTGCCTCCCCGGGGGTGTCTGGGCCAACTCTGACCTCCCAGAGCTGAGACCCTTGTGGCCTCTCTGCGTGACCTCCCCTGAGCTTTATGTCACACTGGGCTGCTCAGCTCATGACGAGGGTCACAAGTTGGCACCGTGCTAACTGCACCACCTCTACCTTCGTCCCCTAGACCTTCCATGCACAGGGAAGGCCTTCCGAGAGGGCGAGGTACCTCCTGAGGGACCAGGATGTGGTGCAGTGGGAGTGCACCTGGACCCACACGGGAAGGTTCTCGGCTCAGGTCCTGAGACCTACTGAGCACCTCAGGCGCGCACACGTGCCCATGATCTGGGCTGGTGTAGACTGGGGGTGGATCGGGGTGTGGGGTCCCTATTGTGGATGCCTGTCTCTCTCTCATGGGAGACATAAAATCAAAATTAAAAACAGAAAACAGTATCTGCCAAAGACACGCCCACCAGCTATGTCTCCAGGACACTTTGCATATCTGATGTTCCTGTACCTTCCTGTAACTTGGTGTCTCTTTGCATGAACGTGTGGGCTTACAGAATTACCCCCGCAACATAACACCGTTTCCTCCAGGGGCATGTGGGGCCCAATTCAGTAACAAAGGGTCTGCAATCCCACACAGGAAGTAACAGAAGCCGTGTACTCCCCGAGAGCAGGGAGGGCCAGAGAGACGGCTGCGGTGTGTTCTACAAACTAAACTTCATTTCGGGGGCGTCAAGGAAAGCCACTCTCTGGTCCCCCTCCCGGCATGCCTCAGCAGCCACCGCCTGTTCCTGTCCCGTCCCCCTGTGCTCACCACCCCGACTGTACGGGACCACCGTGACGGGCAGCTATGTCCTCAGTCTCCTTCACTCCCCTTGCTAGGCTGGCCTGGAGCCAGCGAGAGCCGCAGGAAGGGGCCACGCCTGACCAGGAGCACCAGGAATTTGGGGGCGGGCTCTGCTCATCAGGGCCCCTGGCGGACACTGCACCATTCAGGTGCTACCGAAGACAGGCTTCTAACAGATGGGTGTCTCCAGGCACCCTGGGGAGAGGCCCTCCAGAACAATAGGAGAAAAGCAGCGCAGGGGCTACACAGGGGAGTGGGCCACCAGAGGTCACTGAAAGCACTCGTTTCAGACAGCAGAGGGCTGGCTGGGTCCCCGAGGGTCGGGAAGGTGGGCCTGCTCCCCGAAGGCACTGTGGTTGACAAGACGAGGTGTCTTGTCCTTGTCCGCATTTAAGTGAATGCTTTGCAAGAGCATATCAAAGAGGTGCTGGCAGACGTTTGCAGCCTCCTCCCTGTCGCCGGGCCTGGGCAACGGTCTCTCAGGGAACAACTGCCCTGGGTCTGTTACCTCCTAAATGTGACATCCCCCTCGACTCAGGAGAAAACGGCTGGTGCTCGGGAAGGTCGGTCACAGACAGGGGCAAGGGAGGCTTCTGAGGGACGCGTCTGCGGGGAATGGCGGGCAGCGACCCAGCGCCCCACGGTCCTGAAGAGGCAGAGGGGTGACCTAGGAGAAGCAGCTGAGATGGTCGCGTGGGTAAGGGCGAGGGTGTTCCTGACTGCGGGCGCTGCCAGCTGCTGTTGAGAGCACCCTCTCCCGCGCTGGGTGCTCGTGGCCGGGCACGGTCCCGTCCTGCTGCTCTGACTGGCTCCAGACCAGCCTAGAAAGGGGAGTGAAGGCGGAAGCCGCACGCTGCCAGGTGTCCCAGGGCCCGTGGTCAGGACGGCAAGGCTCAGTGGGCCGGGACAGGAAGTAGGCAGTGGCTGAGAGTGGAGCATCTTGGACGCGCTCGACACCTCGTGTTTTAAGAGATGCAAAAACAGCAAACACGGCCGGCCTCGTAGCGCAGTGGTTGAGTGCTGTGCATTGGGAGTTGATTCCACATGGCCGACCAAAGTTCAGATCCCGGCCCCAACATCTGTACAAATGTTCTGGGCACAGACACGCGCTGACTAACAGGATGGAGAAATGGAGGGAAAAGGGTCGTAGCGTGACACACCGCACTGCGGGGGAGGGAGTCCTCTCTCTCCCAAGAGCGCACATGCCCTCCGGCAGCAAGACAGCGATAACAGGGGTAAGCTGCCCCAACGTGGCGGACAGCTAAGGGGGGGCTCCCTGCCTTTCAAATTCTTGGGGACCCAGGGTGGACAGTGGGTGGCACAGTAACGTGAACCTGTGAGGCTGAGTCACATGGGAAGGTCCAGGGCTCACACCTAGAGATCTCCCTGAGTGCGCAGGGCACGTGATCCGGGTGGGGTGGGCCGTGGCAGCAAGGTCATATTGGGGGCGCTAGCTCTGTTTCTGTCAGGGAAGAAATAAATAAATAAACTTCCTTAAAAATCCCTGGGAAGCGCTCACACTGCAAGGACTAGCTCTGAACCGCCCTGCAGGGGGAGCAGCGAGGACTGAGGAGGGCGTGCAGAGAGCAGGATTGAGAAGGAACTGCTTGGGACCAGCAATTGGCATAATGGCTACATCACTGGACTCTCATGTAGTCGACTGCAGTTTGAGTCCTGGACCTGGTGGCTTAAATTTATGCTGAGCGTGTGTGGGTGCATGCCCAAGACTCTGAGAGGTCCCTCTGTCTCCCTCTGTCTTTATGGAGAGAGCAAACGCCCTACAGCAAAAACCTCTCCAAAAAAAAAAAAAAAAGGAACTTCCTGCAGGCCAGAACCAGCCAAAGACAGAGAGGTCGGCTTTGAACAGAAGCAAGTCACCAGTGCTGAAGGTGCAGGCCGGAGGGGAGCTGGGAGACCTGGGAGAGCCCACCTTCCGACCCCTTCCCCAGGGAGGTGTCAGACTGCAGGCAGGGGGAGAGCGAGGCAGAGGACCAAGTGGCTGGGTCATGATGCAGAGCTGCAAAGCTCCCTTCTAAACTCCTCCTCCTAAAAATTAACCTAATTACGTTTCACGAAGATCACCTGCTGTTAAGTGGGGAAAGGAGGGCCAGGAGAGGGCCCACCCAGGACCAGACGGCTTCCTGCATCTCTAGACCTGTGCGTCCTCGGCAGGCACCGTGTCCGGCAGGCAGTTTGTCACTGCCTGTGCTTACTTGGTTTGGTTTTTCTAGCATGTACCTAGAACACAGGTGTGCCCTACATGTGCCTAAAACAAAGGTGGGCTGTCTGCGGTTTCACAGGATGAAACCGGGGCTGCCCTGGGGGATGGAGGGAAGGGCGTACCCACCAGGTTGACGGGGCTGCTGACGTTGCTGTTCATGAGGGCCACCAGCCCGTTCACCAGGTCACTGCAAGAGAAGGGGAGGTCAGGCACCGTTTGCTGAGCCTCACGGCGTGGAGCACCCCACTCGGGCCCTGGAAGGAAATTCACCACCTCCCAGAAAAAAACCAAAGCCTGCATGGAACACTGAACGGTGAAATAAGCTCTGGCTAGTCAGGACGACGCGTGTCATGCTAACGTAATCCAGGGATGAGATGGGCAAGTGACGTCTGGGGTTTGCTTTTGCGGGTGGGGTGCAGACCGTAAACCAGGACAGAAGCTTGGCAACGGGGCTGAGGTCTCCACCTCTGCATTTCTTAAGTCCTTTACCCGTTACAAGAAAGATACATTGGAACAGGCACAGACCCAGAGGTGTGGCGTTGACAGAAGTTGCTGATGGAAGTCGGTTTGATGCTACCCCAGGTGACCGACCCACACGAAAGCCTCTGATTAGGTTTTAGAATAAGAGCCACCGAAATGCACAAATCCAGTATGCACGTCCACACTGAGATCACAGACAAAGCAGCCCTGAGCGCGGCCCGAAGCTCCAGCGTCATGCTTTCCCCGCCTGGAGTTCGCCATGCCCGCAAACAATGCACAAGCAGGTCAAGGGTGTGTGGGTGTTGCGAATGGATCATGATCGATGAGGCATGATGGTGAAGATAAGCAAGCAAATTCTCCCTTACCAAGGTTTGATTCTTATTTTCAGAAGCTTTAAAGTGTGGCTCTGTTAAAAAAAAGTGACTTTGTAAAAATGACACCTCACCGCTCAAGACGAGTACATTCTCTAAGCTATTCTGCATCACTCGCTCTCTTAGAAGACTAGCCAAGGTCTGTCCTGGTGATCGAAGTCACCTGCTTTGAAACCTCTCCCGCTCTGTCCTCCACCGTCCCGTGAGGAGCAGGTTGCTATGGACTGTGGGAAGCTTCCAAACAAAACCAGGCGGCTTTTGCTTTCTAGTTTCATGGAGGCGTTCTAGTCTCAGGATCAAGGATAAATGCAAATCGCTGTCGACCTTAGGTGATTTCTTTTATAGAAATGGGCAAAAAGTCACTTCATCACGACGGGAGTGCTCATCCCGTCCTGTCGCCAGCATCTGACGGCACACGGCTGGGTGCGTGTCAGGAGACGTTAAAAGCTGCCGTTCTCAGTGAACATGATGGGCCTGGACACTGGGCCTGGGGAGGGATCTGCCTTAGCTGGAAGGCGGGGGCCTGGTGCGGCCATCCTCATTAGGGGAGCGGGGAAGGAGGGCCCCGCGTCTTTTATATGATAAACTGGCAACTTTCAAGGTCAAAATCGAATAGATCACACTCCTTTAACCTGAAGCTCTCTGAGATGTCATTTTGACAAAGTGACTTTTTAAGAAGATGCAGCATGCTTTGCAATGTGAATGAGGACATGACTGGACCATGCAGATATCAACACGCATGATGAGGTGTCAATGCGGATGACCACCTCGACTGGACTGGGCCCACGTCCGGCCCTCTGGAGGCCACCGTGGGTTCGGGGCACGTGCACATGGTACGGGGACCATGGATTCAAACATTGTGCATTATTAACTGTGAACTGAACACTCTGCTTCTTAAGAAGGAGCTCTTTAAAAGTAGCAAAGCTAGGCCCAGAAGGTGGGGCAGTAGTTAGGGTGCGAGACTCCCCCACATGGCTGACAGCAGTTCGGGTCCTGGATCCTAGGACTTGAAACTCAGGCCAGGTGGGTGTACATGTGTGCCCACAATCCCAGGAGAAGAGAAGGGGAGGGATTGTGGCATGGCCATCCCTCGTGGGGGTAATTTCTCGCTCTCCCTCTCACTGTCTCTCTGGCAAAACGCATGCACTCTGTGGTAAAAACCTAAAGAAAAGCAAAACTTTGGTGAGCTAATGTGGCTGGGAAACCCTGGTCCAGAGTGTGGCGGTCCCCGAAGCCTCATCACGGACTCCTCCAAGGTGCGGCCAGGAGCATCACTGCACAAGCAGCATGCACGGCTGCAGGGCACGAGCGGAGGGCTTCCGGAACCTCGCCCCGGGGACAGACGCCCGCGCTCGCTCCAGGTGGCTGGTTGGCCCGGGAGGTGGCTGGGTTGCAGCAGCCGGGCACTGTGGGCACCTCTGAGCTCTAGTTCTGAGTTAGACACTGCTCGGTGCGGGCCTCGCTAGTGCTGAACACGTTTCAGTCACTAGCAGGAAACATACACAAAGAGGACCCGAAGCTAACTTAGGGGCGTTCAGTACGTGGTGCCTTTGACGTCAGAACAGCTTCCAAATGCTTTGCTTTCTCTGCGCAAAGTCCCATCCGTGTTTCATGTGATGGGCTGGGAAGCTGGGGCCACCTTCTCAAGGTAAGTCCCTAGAACCAAAAATGACAAGCCTGCCTGGGTAAAGGGCTGGCGGGGGGAGGGGGACTGTAGGATGACATTATGAAGAGTGTCATTATGAAGAGATGGGCCCACAGAAGTCCTGTTAACGTGGTCCCACTGCAGGAATGTCCTGGCAGCTCTCCTAGGCACACCGGCCCGGGCCGAAGCTCTGACATGAACATAGTCCTGAGGGGCAGCTGCCATGGCAGCTCCATCGCTTCTCAGGATAGGCTGACCTAGCTGGGCCATGGGGGTGGTGGAGGGGCAGCCACAGTGCACGTCAGGCACTCTGCCCCGACAGGACATGCACAGGTGGGAAAAGGCACCTGGACGTCATGTATGTCTACATGGGGCTTTCTTCGGAATCAAATGTAAAAAGTTACACTTTCAGGAAAAATCTATGTGTGGGGGAGAGAGAGAGAAACAAGGAGATCCATTTCTCAAAGGGGCTTTCCCCAGGATGCTCGGCTAATCGGACAGGAGCCTGCAGCATCGTCTGGCTGAGAGGGTGTGGCGCTGCCCAGACCGGCCCCACAGCGACCATCCCATCTCTGCACGCCTGAGGACAGTCCCAGACACAGGAGCAGCGTCCCCTTGGACAGGCATCCGGGCCATTTGCTCTGAAGAGTAACAGTATCCAGTGCCCAGTTCTAGAGCTGGGTTTCACAGTGATTCAGGGTTCCAGAAACGCTGATGGCCGCACGATGGCGGATGGTACAAAGGGGCTTCGAAAGTTCTTGGAAAAACGGAATTCATGTTTGTATTAATTTTGATGCACAAAATTCCTTTTTGAGCGAGCGAGAGAGAGACTTTTGCTATCGGGTGTGTGCACTTGCTGGTAAGACAGAGAGTGAGACAGAAAGCAAAAACATCACCCCCAAGGGGGATGGCCACGCCTCAATCCCTTCTCCTTCATTCTCCTCTTGGGATTTTGGACACACATTCCTGGTGTGAGTTTTAAGCCACCGGGTCTGGGACTTGAACTGCAGTCAACTATGTGGGAGTCCAGCAACATAACTACTATGCCACCTACTAGTCCCCAAACCCTAACACCCATAACCACTATGCCACCTACTAGTCCCCAAATCCTAACACCCATGCATAGCACGTGGAAAGCCCGTGCATTTCCCACGAGCTTCCTGAAGCCCTCCTGGACCTGTAACTTCTTATACAGTTAACTCTTCTCTCAGGATCCTAACCGCATCGTAAAACTGGTCAGAAACTGACCCCTAAAACTAGATGGATAAGAATGACTAAGAAAGCAATAAAAACCACTATGCGAAAGTACTCAAAAAATTTTATCTGCATTTAATCGTAGCACCAACTCCACCATGGAGAATACTCTGCGATCTCACCTCCTTCACGGGACCCTGCCATCCACTGGCTCAGATTTCAGAACCTGCAGGTTTGGTGGGCAATCACCCTCATCTTGGCTAACGGCCTGAATGGAAAACCCGGCCCCTTCAGAGCTGGGCAACTTCACCTACCAGCCACTGGGTGGCAGTCTGAGATCGGCGCACACGGAAGGCAACCTAAATTAATCCTAGAACAGCAAGACTCCTCCTGACCTGCAAGTATGGTTGCCTCAACTCCATCACCCCCGCCCCAAACCCTCTGGGCTTGGCCCTGCGGCGGGACGGGCAGGCCTTACCTGACGTACTGGAACGCCCGCGTCTGAGACCCGGATCCGTACACCTGGAAGGAAACCGAAAGTGAGAAACCCACAGGGCACGCCACACAGGGCTCCTCCAGGTGCAGGGGACGTGGACTGGGTCTCTCAAAGGCCACTGGCGAGCGTTAGTGATGCCAGCGGGAGCGTCACATCTCACACTGGGTTCTAAAGTCACGCCCGCAGGGAGATGGAGGCAGAAACGCCCGTGTGTGCACACGCAGTGTGCTCAGAAAGGCCCCCGGGGGTATCAGCTCGCATTAGAGCTCACTGAATCAGACGCCCAGCTGGGGCCAGCCCACACAGAGCCAGGTTCTGCACCCTGGTACCCACAGAGCAGCTGCTGGGCCTGGAGTGCTGCTTCCATTTCTCTCCGAGGCGGCTCCGAGATGCCCACAGATGTCCAGAGGTGTGGCAGGGCACCACGTCTCTACATCTATCTCCCCAGGGGACGCTGGCGTGTGCCCAAGGCTGAGTTGAGAGTCCACAGAGACCCTGAATGCGGACAGAGGCGTTGAGAGGGAGGGGCCGCACGCCCCTACAAATTCACTGCCCATCTCCACACCCCTGCCTGGGTGCACTGCCCAGCCTCTCCTCGGCTTGTCTGCGGGCAATCAGCTCTGATGCTGCCTCCTCAGGCTCGCTGCAAGGACAGAACGAGCAGCCCTCCCCCTCCTGCTCCACCTGCCACCTTCCCCGACTGGCAGTTCCCACGTGGATGCGTGCCTGGCCCGTCTGTGCCTGCAGGAGCCCAGCATGATGGATGAGCCTTGGCCGAGCAGTAACCTGGAGAACTGCAGTTCATACCATTCCCGAGAACACAGAGTGAAACAGAAGGCTCTCTGAGAGATCCCCACCCCGACGGTCGGGGGAGCTGCTGTGCTCAAGGCAGACGGCGGCAGCTGGACGGGACAGCCTGTGCCATCCTGCACCTCCTCCCATCGCCTGGGAGCAATGAGCTGGAGCAGGAGACCTGCAGACAGCATCAGCACCCAGACCCCCATTCCTGCAGCCTGGAGACTGGAAGTGGGGGCAGAGCCAGGAAGAGAGAAAAGCACGCCTCGCTCTTTATAGCTCATGCTTTCTTTAACGAGAAAAGAGAGACATAGGTGCTCTTAGCAGGGTCTCAGAGGCCTCAATCCACCCCCAACCCTGGCCAGGACCATGGGTGCATCCACAGGAGCAGCCAGCACATTCCACCCACTTGAGACCTGCACCCAGGTGGCTCTGGCACCGCGCCCCAGGGCCCTCCTGCCGCGCGCCCTGCTGGGCCCGGAGTGCTGCGTTTCTTTTTCCCGCGGCAGCTCAGAGGCTGCTCCGTCACTTCGCGAGCACTTGCCGTGCCAACCTCACAGGCCCGTCAGTCCTGCACCTTCCGTCCTTGGACGAAGGCCTCCCATGCGCAGGAGCCGAGAGTACTGATGGTCAGAAACCCCAGCAGCAAACCTCGGTGAAGGAGGGCTGGGAGTGGCCTCCCGGCAGCAGACGGCGGTTCTGGACAGCCCTGCCGACCCGGCGCTCCAGCCTCGCTGGCCCTGCTGTGGGTGTGGCCGGCAGGAGGGCGTGACTGAGACTGGGGGGACAGAAGGTCCTCAGGCACAGGCTGCTGCGGGCACCCTGGGACCACCCTCCACCGGGCACCGTCCTGTGCGTGGACCGCTCGTGCCCCTTCCTTTAACTGGCCTCATTTCAGAGATGAGGACACAGGAGTGGAGTCCAGGCAGACCCATCTGGACTCCAAGCTTGGGGGTCCGTTCCCACTTCATGTAGCCCCCACTTCTGACTCCCTGCGGTTTCTCTGGCAAGGTGGCCCAGGGCTGTTCTTGGGTCCTGCAGAACCCTGGGTAGAACACTGCGAGATGGCTGAGTCAGAACTCCCCATCCAGTATCTAATATCCTCAATATCTGATCAGGGTCCTCATCCTCCCACCTCCAGGACACGTCTGATCACCCTGCCTGCCTTCAGCAACAATCCTGCCTCTTCTCTTCGCTACTGATGGTTCCTCTCTATAATTTCCCATTCACAGGGACCCCCTGACCTGCCCTGCCCTGCCCAGCCCCGCCCCGCCCCGCTCCTGAACCAGGCTGGCCCCACTGCTCCAAAAACTCTCACTGGACAGTGGTTTCCGTGACGGACCCGATGGCTTCTCTCCAGCAGGAAGGCCGGATATTAGGGTCAATGAGAACCAGGGCCCTGGGTAAGGAGGGTAGATATCACACTGGCTCTGAACTGTCCCTTTGGAAACACAGCAAGGCCTGTGAAATGACAGAGACCTGGATTCGAACTCCCAATTCTGGGCTGTCCTGGGCCAGCTTACTTCAGAGACGCTTTCATCCTCCGTGAACTGGAGGCGACTGCGGAAGGTGAGCCTGTGTGAACGTGTCTGCTGGAGCTGCGCAGGAGCCAAAGCCTCTGCGAAGACACGTAGCAAGCGAGCGCCACCTGGCCACACTCGGCTGCTTCCTAAACCCCAACTGGGGCAGAGTATCTCCTGAGCTCTGCCGTGACCCCACGATCTCTGTAGGGCGCACCTGACTCAGCAACGTCCTCCTCGAGCTCTCCTAACAGGCACCTGGGGCAGCGAGCAGGATGGTGAGACGCACCCAGAGACCGAGCCCAGCCGAGCGCTGAGGCAACAGCGGGCTCCTCCAAAGAGCGGCCAGGTGAGCGGTTACATTAGGCCGGCTCGGGAGGGCGGGAGGCCGAGCTGCTCCCAACCACCCAGCAGGTCTGCGGTCTTTCTTCTTTTAATCACCAGAAGCTTGTGTACGTGGAGAGAGGTAGAAGTGGAGGCGGAGATGGAGACAGCGTCTCTGTGGAGCCGGGTCACAGTGCAGTCCCTTCTCCCCCACTCGTCCACCTTGTTGCGATTTGGGGTATGCACGCACAGAGGAAAACGGGCACACCTCCCAACTTCCCTTCCACACTAACCCAGGTGTCCTCAAAGATGGGCCAGGGTGAGACAGCCATGCGCGTCTCCCCACGGCCTCTCCGAAGGGCTGCCCGACAAGAGGAAGACAGGGTGTCTCAACGGGACAGAAAAGGATGGACAAACTCCTGATGGGGAGCAAGTCTGTTTGGCCAAAGAAACAAAACGCATCCCGAAAGGCCTCCCTCACGACTCCTGCTTCCTGCCACCAAATGGCACTGGAAGACTCGAATCCAGCGTGTTCTGGATTCTCGGTGGTCCTGGACCGCTCTGGCCGGCAGCTCACTGGCGCTTAGACACCCCTGAGTGACTTCTTCTCCCAACAATACAGGCATTCTTGGGGCTGGCGGGGACTTGGCCTCCTACTTCACTTGGGGCCTGGCTGCTGCCAAGGAGGCAGTAAGTCAGGAAGTTGTTTCTTGGAAGGCTTTCAAGAGTTTGTTCTGCAACAAAGCACTGTGGCCCCAGGGTGACGAGTTCCTGAGCTCACGGTGGAGAGGCCCCAGGCTGCCCCGAGATGCGAACTCTCAACAGAGCAGCTGGTGGAGGGCGGTTTTACCTGATAGTAAATGTACAGCCGGCTTTCAAAACAAGACAGGGCCACTTGCGCCTGTCATAACGGAAAGCACGCGGCCGTTATAAACCCCAGCATTAACTCAACCGAGATGTATCTCAGGCTGTCCGGGAGCCTGGCACTCTTCTGGAGGCCAGGGAGACAGCCAAAAACAAAAGGAAGTTCCTGGCTTCAGTGCTTACACCGTACTGGCAGGGACGGGCTGGAGACCGGCTTTTCGGTTGGCCACGGCACAGTGAAAACAGACTTGTTCCCGGTGACCATCAGGTGCCACTATGCACAGAACACTCAAGGAGGCTCCCTCCAGGAGCGCAGAGTGGACGGGGAGAAGCCGGGGAGAAGGCGCTCCCAGGACGGACACGCACCAAGAAGCAGAGGGGACTCGCCTGGGGAAGGGCCAGGCAGTGGAGCTGAGCACCGGGATCCACAGAGGAAAGGCCCTGGGTTCACGTCCTGGTCCTTCCTGAGGACGCTGGGTGCATGCGTACCTGCCACCCAGGACTGGCTGACGCTGAGGTGGATCGCAGTACAGGGACCCTGTCAGGGTGCGGCTGTCTCTTTTTCTCTTTCTCAAACTAAATAAATGAATAAGATTTAAAAAGAGGGACCAGCAGATGGCATAATGGTTATGTCACTGGGTTCCTACAACGTCAACCGTGGTTTGAGTCCCAGACCTGGCAGCTTAAAACTCACACTGGGCAAGTAGCTGCGCTGGTAGCAGAACTGTGAGCACACCCCGAAGGGGGTAGGGCCTGGAGACCAGTGACTAAGTGTGGTGGCTCCAGTCCCAAACGGGACATCACTATCTGGCCACACAACCTCTCCGCTCCCACCGCTTCATCTGCAAAACGGGGATCTGCTGTCATTAATGAATGCTTGCACCTGCTGGACGGTCGCGAACAATGGATGAGTAGCGAATAGGGGCCGGCTGCGTCAGTTGTTCAGTGAACACACACACACACATACATGTATATTTGGTTACAATTTTCTCCCTAAGATTCTCCGAGTAACAGGACTCTTACCTACTCTGGATTCCCACATAAGGACTCCAGAAGAGCAGAAACAGGCAGACAACCGGAAGAGGAGCAGGAAAGGCGGGAAAGAGGCAGGAGGAGAGCAGTGAGGACCCAGCAAACCCACAACCTCTGGCCCTGCAGCAGGGACACTCCTGCCCAGAGGTGGGCCAAGACCCAGCAGCCCATTCTATCCCCACAGGCAGCACCTGAGGGCGTGAGCAGTCATCTGCACAACACGGACCCCAGACCCAGCCCGCAGGGCCCTCCGCCAGGCTCCAGAGGCCTCCCTGTATGACAGCGCCCAGCAGAGAAGGGGGCT